CTTTTCCGCACTCAGTGCGGATACGGGCCTTATCCGCACTGAGTGCCGAAAAGTAAAAATAATTGTCAAGCACCTGTCGACTTTGACACATGATGACAAATTTTTCCTCTGTTTCTATAGGTATCAGCCAACATCTATACAAACACTGAATATAATAAGCTTTGACACATTGTCAGATTTGTGTTCTCAATTTACATGTAAGAATCTACAAACTTCTTTCGCATCAAATTTAAACGCTTTAAGATGAACAGCTCTGACGAGGATTTCAATTTCCTGTTTTTTTGTTATGTAATTTTTTGATAAATGAATAGTTTCGCTTCAGGTTAATTGAAAATAATTGAACAAATTATCGTTTTTTTTTTTAAATTTTTGTTGTTACCTACCTGATATGAGGCTCGTAGGAAAAATTTTGTTCCTAACACGTGCGCAAAGTTTCTTTTCCGCACGCAAACACTCATCCGAACTCCGCTGCGCGTCGTTCGTATAACTGTGTTTGCGTGCGGAAAAGTAACACTTTGCGCACTTGTTAGGAAAATAACTATTCCAGGCTTATAAACAATGCAAAGATCATAATTAAGGAGTCGCAAACGCATTCTTTGTAGCCTGGGTGAAATGGAGGCTAATTCTTTTTTAAAAATTGTTTCCAGGGGCTTGTGATCGGAATTTATTTTAATGCTTCTCTGACCATAAATAAAATAGTGAAACTTTTGCACCGAAAACAAGATAGCCAGCATTTCCTTTTCAATCTGAGCATAATTTTGCTCTGTCGAAGATAAGCTTCGTGAAGCGAATGCTATAGGGTGTCCGTCCTGCAATAAGCAGCACCCGAGACCATCTTTTGACGCATCAGTCTCAATTTCAATACTTTTTGAACTGTCAAAAAATTTCAAAATAGGGGCCGTTGACAACAAATGCTTCAGTTGCAACAACGACTCCTCCTGCTCATTACTCCACTTGAAATCTACACCCTGTCTTGTTAGGTCGCGAAGTGGAGCTGTAATCAAGGACATGTTGGGTACAAACTTGCCCAAAGATTTGGCCATACCTAAAATTCTTAGAAGATCATTTTTATTGCTAGGCTTTGGTAAATCTGTGATTGCTTTAACATAAGATTTGTTGGCCTCAACACCATTTTTTGAGTAGATTTGACCCATAAATTTAACAGATTTTGATTTGAATTGGATTTTAGAACTATTAAACCTAATGTTATATTTAAGGGCTCGTTCAAGGACTAATTGCAAATTTCGATCATGCTCACGTTCGTCGCGACCTGTTACAATGAGGTCGTCAAAATAAAGTCCTACCCCATCTAAATCACCAAAAATTTCGAAGTTTTTCCGCTAAAACACCTCTGGCGCTGAGCAAATGCCGAAAGGCAGTCTAACAAAACGATAACGCCCAAAAGGTGTGCCGAAAGCTGTTAAATCAGCGCTTTCATCATCTATTTTGACTTGAAAGTAACCATCTTTCATATCAAGAACAGTGAAAAACTCCTTGTCACAAAGTTTCACTGCAATCTCCTCAGCAGTCGGGATAAGAAAATGCTCACGTTTAATAGCTAAATTCAAAAACTTTGGGTCAAGACACAATCGAAGGTCACCATTTTTTTTTTCAACAATGACTAAGGGGTTCAGCCACTCAGTCGGTTTTTCGAGTCTCTCTATAATATGCTGATTCTCAAGCTGCTCAAGTTTCTTCTTTAACTTATCATGAAGTGCTCGCGGAACCCTTCTGGGAGGCTGAACATGAGCCACAGCATTACTTTTTAAGGTAATGTGATGGCTTGTTGGAAACTCCCCCAAACCATCAAATGCAAGTTTATACACAGTAATAAGATGCTCCAGTGACTTAAACACTACATCGCCCTGACCAATGGATGCCAAACGTTTTATTAATCTCAATGATACGCAACCTGGTAGTCCTAACAGAGGCAATTGATTTTCTGCGTCAACAACAATAAAATTCACAACAGCTTCTGACTTATTGACCCTACATACTAACTCAATTTCACCTACAGGATGCATCTTGAAGTTATTACTACCATAAGATATTAAAGTTACATTAGTTGGTTTCAAGTCAGAGTCGAGATTCAATTTCTTTACAACAGCTAATGGTAAAACACTTACCTCAGCTCCTGTGTCTAGCTTAAATTCTACTTGACCTATTCCTACATCTATTTGCTGTTTCCACACTTTCTCAATAGCACTAACTTCCACAACTGAGTTCGTAGATTGTGTTTCATCATTGTCCGAGTTTTTCGAAAACACATCAATCGAGCTGACATAAAACTGATTTTCATCCTCACTATTTTCACTTCCACTGCTGAGCTCCTTCTCTTCAACAACATGTACTCTCTTCTTGAAATCTCTAATCCCTTTTTTATGCTCCTTACCATGAGAACTGTTATCACTTGGGCAAACAGCTGCGAAATGGTTACGACGTTGACACTTAGCACAAGTTTTACCTGAAGCAGGGCAATTACCAGTTCTAGCGTGTTTATATCCACAGTATTTGCACACAATTAGATGCAAATCTTTTGCCATGGATCTCGAGGATGGGTACACTGACCCACTAGATTGTGCCCTATTCCTTACTTCATCAACAGCTGCTTCATTTTGCAAAGCTTTTGCTTGGGATTTACTAACTTCCGAGGCTCGACAAAATGCTATAGTTTTGTTTAGAGTAAGTTTTGACTCTCGGAGAAGCTTCTCCTGGGAGCTTTTGTCCCAAATACCGATAACAATTCTGTCTCTAATCATGTCTTCACTGTCCTTGTATTCGGTTGTTTTGACAGCCTTCCTGAGCTCCGTCAGGAAACTATCAAAGGGTTGACCTTCTTTTTGACTTATACTGTTGAATTTGAATCTTTCAAACACAACATTTGCAGTCGGAGAACAGTGAGCTTCAAACTTTGCTACAATATGCTTCAATTCCTTTGCCTCCGCCTCTGTAAATGTAAAACTGTTGTATAGTTCAAGACCATCATCTCCTACCAGGTTCAAAAATGTGGCAATTTGAGTTTCCTCAGACTTTTTTGCCAATTCTATGGCTGTGGAAAACACAGTGAATTTCTGATGGAAACGCTTCCAGTTTTCAGCTATGTTTCCATCGAGCACAAGGGGCTCTGGGGGCCTGCAAAAGTGTTCCATTACTACTGCCAGACAAGCTCAATACCAGGGGCCAAGACCAAGAGTGCAAGTGACACTGTTTTAACTCTTTTTACTCACACTAAAACCGCTAGCGACCAACTTTACTAATTCCCGAGACCGTAAAACCTGACACCATGTCATATCCTGAAGCTATTCAGGATAGAGGCATGGAAAGTATCCAATAAAACAAGACTAGATCCAGTTACAAACTTGTATATTTCACAGGCTGACAAGGCTGGGCTGAAAGCCAGGTTATGTTCTAGATGGCAAGACCATTCTTGGCGGGATCATTGTGCGGCGATAGCAACATGCTACGCAGTGTTGCCAACTATAACTATATTATAACACAGTGCTTACTTTGCGCAAATGCTTCTAATTTTCTTTGGCTCCTGAAAGCTGAATTTTCCTAATTTTTAGTTCTAGATGCTCCTCCATGAAGCTAATCAAATCTTTCTTTTGTTCAGCAGACACAAACCCTCCAAAAACCATGATTGTTAGTTAACGTTATAAAAAACAAGGACGTTCAAGGAAATCCCAACGATTAGGTGCACAAAATTTATTTCAACAAGATTTATACCAACAGAATAGACTAAATAATACTTGATAAACTCAATAAACAGCCACAAAATACAAAAAAGAATACCTATCCAAAACACGTAACTTTGACAAGCAAAATATGGCCGGCAGGAGGAACACGAACTACTGTGTACACTATTTTTAACATAAATTCAACAGTTTTAAATATAACAACGTAGATAATTCACAATAAGCACTATTTAAAACTCATAACTCCATTTGATAACACCTACACCTTGACAGACATATTCATTTAAGTTTGACAGCATCTTGGATAGTCTATAGGTTAACAGCAAAAGTAGGGAGTGTTATGGTATTTTTAAAAAGCCAAATTTCAAAAAATACCTCTTCGTTTTTGTATCGGTCGAAATGGCCATTACCCAATACTCGAATTTGCGACGTTGCCAACGCAAACGATACTCGTATACGATATCATTTTCGAAGGGTCTTCAAAAATACGCATTTTAGTTCGTACACGAATTTTTTCATTCGAATTAGATCGCATGCGAAATAATTCGCATGGTTTCGAAAATACGACCCCAGCTATTAAAGTCCGACAAATACCATTTTAAAGTCACGTGATACTGGTGGCAAAAAACGTATGTCCATTGATTATGTCGTTGATATCACCTACAAAAAGCTACTGGTGGTTAATTACTATTGAATTTTAATATATGTTCCCACTAGCATTTTACAAACGCGTTTCTGAAGTAGTATTGACCAATCAGAGGGCAATTTTAATACTTGCAATTGTTGCGAGACTCATTTTTGTCACATCCGCTGTCTGTTGTAATACAATCTGAACTTAAACTGGGTACCCGTTTTCTATTTGCTTTTTTTTGAGTTGGAAAAAGGTTAATATGGTAAAAATTATTAGCTGTGTTTGTTTGTTGTATTATTTTCGAAAATAACTTTGACAAACTAATTGATGACAGTGACGAATTCTATTTCAGGTAAGAATATTATGAACAATAATTAGACAGCAATTTTTTTGTCAATTTTACTATCACCGCTGTTTGAGGTGTATTCAACAAGGATAGAGAAAAATCACGTGACTTTGAAATGGTATTTGTTGGACTATACTAACCTTTTAGGACTATAATGATTTGTTAGTGCTTGTTTTAACTGCTCGTAAGACTTGGTACTTGGTAAATTTGGTGACAATAGATCTTTTAATACACTGTACCCTTCTGCGCCCAATAAGGTTAAAAGCATAGGCACTTTTTTTTCTTCTTTGATACCATTCACCAAAAATAGTTGTTCAAGACGCTCCAGATATGAATCAATATCGGATTGTTTGGGACTAAACTGTTCGATTGATCCAACCAAAAGCATTTTTGACTTTTTTCCACAATTTTCTGGACAAAACGTTTCTACGACTGACTTTCTGGGCACGTACTAGACACGTACTAACCGCGGGACTCGAAGAATACTCGTCGCCAATTAATTGTTGTGTATTTGCTGAACGAACAACGGACAAACAATACGTTTTTTGAATAATTCTATATTAGACTGACACATTGACAAAACATATGACAAGGTGTCCCATAGAGACAATTAAACAAAAACTACTGCCTACTTATACTACAAAATGTAACTAAGTAGGTATATATATACATTCGTTCTAAGTATGTATTTGCGTGTTAGTGCATTTTCTAAAAGAACAAAAAAGATCAATACATAGTAGAAAAGTATGAACGGCAATTATTTACTTGGCAACCGGCAGTTTGCACAACAAACAACCCCAATATAAGCCAGTAACAGTGTCTTCGTTCTTTATTTTTAATCAGTAAAATGATATCTACAAGGGAGAATTTATTGGTGCGTCCATGGCAGCAAAGAAAATACGATTATCATAAAAAAAAAGTAAGTTTGTTTTTTTTAAGTAATTTATATTTCGATTATGTGAAATTCTAGATTTCGAATGCTACCTCTGTTATCGACACCAAATCACCACCGCACAGGGGTCACGTTGCAGTGAAACTGAAAAAGCTACAAAAGGAAAACGAAAGATCCCAAAAAATCGAACGAGACAATTTGATTTTACTACAAAAATTAAACCACATAATGACCACTCATTGGCTGGACAATTATTTACCGCCACAGCCGACTTTTTTGAGTCGAATTGGAGTTTACAGGCCTGTGGATTCTGGAATTGATATGATGGACGATTTTTTTGATAATGATTTTGATAGTCAGGTTAAATATTTTATACATATTAGGTTCTTAAAAAAAATAGAGTTCATTTGTTTCATAGGCTATTGATGAACAAACTTTTGAGACAAAGCCTAAATGTAGAAAATTAAAATGTATGGCGTGTTCTCCTCACAAATATGTTGAAACAGTTTTGATACCAGAAGAACGTATTCCATGGGAACCACAAAAGAAAGAAATTGGAAAAAGACGAAGCATGTATAGTAAAACTATAAGTTGTAATATTGAAAATTGAGTTTAATTTTTTAGTTCGGTACCACCAAAACGTACAGCAGTACCGCTCCCCGTTATAATTGAAAAACCAAAATCTGCTAGCACTTGTGAGAAAACCACAAAAGAGCATCAGGAAAGGGCCAGAACTGCTGGAAAACTATCGGCAAATTTTTTGAATAAATCCACAAATTCAATTTCCATTTCAAGAGGTTCATTGAAATTGTCTGTTAATTTTCCTCCGGATGCTGCTGTGAAATTTGATAAAAAGAGTAGCGGTCAAAATATTCTTAAATGTAGATGTTCACGTAATTTGTAATATTAAACTGTGTTTGTGTGTCAAAATAAAAAAAATATGCATTTTTCAAATGAAAGTTCCAGATTTTAGATTACGATAAACCAATTGTTGACTTTGGTCTTGTATTGAGTTTATTTTAGAAATTGAATGAGAAAATTTGATTAAGTTTGTTCAGATTTAAAATAATGTATTCCAGAATCTTATCAAAATGTGCATCATTTGTTAGAGAGTCCAAAAGTTAAAGGTTAAAAATAAAGTTGTAAATCATATTTTGGAGTTTCACAGGGGAAATTATGCAGCCTAAAAATAAAAATGTGTGCTAAATTTATCATTTTTAAAATTCTGTTTAAAGACTACTTCCTTAAAACTGATGCGTCTCAATTTCCACAGACAACTTAATAAGGCTATTAATTTTATGGTTATATAAATTGAAACTAATGATTCATTCACCAAAAAAAACAAAAAGTTTAAGAAAGTGGGCGTTAATGATCATATTATACAGAATCCTTAACAAAAAAATAATTGAAAATCATATATTTTCGGCATTTATTTGTCATTTTAACACCCAAGTTTTGGACCTTTAAAAATAAAAATGAACACACGTATGAAAAACTTTCTGAAAAGTTGTTGATCCAACAGAATCTATGGTAGTTATGATTGTTTGAGAATTCCTCATTCTTTTACAATTTCATCACTATCTAGGAAGGAGTATGAGACTCAAAATTTTGGGTATGAGACTAATAACTTCATTTGTGAATGCTGCCGAAAGATTGTTCCTACTTAGCTCATCATGCAATTTTTATTTGATTAGTTTGGCAGCTGAAGAAAATTTTAGACTGGACCCGATTTTCAAACACCGTAGGACATTTAAACTGTGCCATAGACTGAATATTCTAGAAAACTTCGAAGTTAAAAACATTTTAGCTTCAATCTTTTGTTCAACTGACTTTCTCATTAATCTTGCAAGCCTTTCCATATTCTATTTCTCTCTGGTCTGTTAGGATGAATCAGATTCTCTTCTAAATTTTTGTTGTTTATATGAGCTATCAATTCCAACTAAAGACTTCACATAATCGTTTTAACTTTCGGCCAGCTGCAAGTACTCTACAAATTTTAATTTTGGATAATTTATGGCTACCTGTTACTGTGAATCCTTCATCAAATTTTAATATTGACTTTCTTTTACTTAATCGCTTAATAGGATTTGCCTTTTCTAAGATAACTTCCTTAAGATAACCTTTTTGCTTTTTTCTGGTTTTCCTAACTTTTAGGGTTTTAGTTCAATTCTAGTTTTCTCTTTAGATTTATTCATCTTTAATTCATTTTATTATTTGAGGACTTTGAAAATTTTCAATTCTATTTATTTGTAGTTTTAGAAAAAAATTTCCAAGAGAACCCTTCTCCTTCTTAGTTATTGTCTGGTGTTTTCCTGACATTTGGGGCTTAGGTTTCCTTCTTTGATCTATTTATCTTTAATTTTTTCTATTATTTTAGGATTTTGAAAATTTCCAATTCTATGTATTTACTTGTGATTTTAGAAAACCTTTCATTAGAGAACTTTCATCACTTTTTGTTGCTTTGTGGTTTCTGAAAATTTTCAATTCTATTTTATGTCCGAAATATATGTAGTTAATTCGGTACACTAGTTACAGTCTCTAGGGTTTGGTTTTCTATAAAGAGGACATAAAATTCCGTCGCTCCCTTCTAACTTTCGAACCGCTCGGTATATTACACAAAATTTGACATGTTAATATGTAATCAAATTCTCTATTTATTGAAAAATAAATGACACCTTCAGCTGTCAAAATGACAGCTGGGCTCAGTCTCGATATTCGAAGGGATACTTTCGAACTCAGAATTACCACAACAGTAGATTATACCTCGAGTCAATAATGATAGCTATTATTCCCGAAGAATACTTACGAACTGAGCCGCGTTAGCGACGGCGAGGGAGTAACATTAGAGAGATATCGGTAAAACAGATAGCGCGTATGGACGGTAATAACGTCAGGAGTTATTTTTTTAAAAGTAAAGCGGTATCATACTTTCAAATTAGAGTTATCGGAAAACAGTTTAACGTAAAATTTGCCTGTTCGCATCCGTTATTTTATAACCGTAGCCTAACTTGTTCCTTGTTGCGATTTGATTTGTGTTGTCTGTTGTTCTTGGTCAGGGACAGAGGATTTGCTTTTTTACTATTTTTTGAACAATCCATATTCACTTGAACACATCAAAAATAATAAAATAAACAATAAACATAGCATAACCTATTATTCCCCGGCGTTATTTTTAGACGTTATTCGAAATAGCGCTTAACGTAAATGCTTGGCAAATTACGTTATGCGGTAACGTTATTTTAGTACGTAGTGTTAAAAATCGAATCGCGCATAGGTTTAATGTCAAAATAACGTAGGCGCTAATACTGCATGAACCTATTCGGGTTACCGATATCTCTCTATTCTGAGGGAATAATAGCCATTATTGCGAGACTCTACTTTATTTACGAAAAATTAATTTATTGGAAATTTTCGTTCCAAAAACGCTCATTGTTCATCCATCTCAATACAAATACACAAGCACTACGCGTTTGACACTGACACTTTTGAGTTTGTTTATATTATACTTATTGGTTCCATGGTACTACTTATTTAATTTGAGAAATGTTGTGATTGGTGTAATAATGACCATTAATCCCTACGGGAATAATATATGTCATTAAACTGCCAAAATCACAAGTATAATACTTACATTATATGTCAGTCCTACATAAAATTCTAAAAATAAACTGAGTTGTTCCTGTCTGCTTTTGCCTTTTTATCTTGTATGTGTAGCTCGTTTGTAGTGTGGTGTGACTGGTGTGAGGTTGTATTTTCTTCTATTTTGTTTTTTTTTTTTACCAAGTCAAGTGAAGCGGGAACCATTTTGTTTTGATTGTAGCAACGCCAGCAACGTGTTTAGCCTGGCGGCTAGACCCATATCACTTTACTTTGTATTTTGTTTTGTGTAGAATAATATTCAAATACTTTTACCAAGATTTTTACTGTGTGAAACTTTTCCTGGTTTGTCCTTGTCCCCCTTTACAATTCTCTAAATGTTTGTAGGTTACCTACCTTTTTTTTTGTATTTACTATCTACTGTTATTTAAGGGTACGTAAAGGTTGGAATAAAATCTATAAAATATACAGGGTGGATATTGATTAAAAAACCTCGGACACGCCAATTTTTGATTTTAGTGGCCGTTTTTTTTATGATAATAGCATGTATACAGGGTGACTAAAAAACAAGTTATGACAGCTAACTTTATTTTTTTAAATAAAAACACCAATTTTTTATTTCATTTTCAAATTCTACGTTAAATTCTGAACCTATTTCATGTATCATGTCCTATACCTATCTTCACCTGTTTCGGAAATATTGACAGTTGAAAATTGAATTTTTGCAACTTTGACAGGCTGTAGAACCTAAACGGTTAATTTTAGAGCAAAACCGATTTTAGATTCCTATCTCAGATTTTTATAAACTATCATTTGATACCAACTTTCAATTTAACCGGAGATTCAATTTAATTGGAATTTTTAATCATGGATTAAATTCAAAGTTGGTATCATATGATAGTTTATGAAAATCTGAGACAGTAATGTAAAATCGGTTTTGCTCTAAAATTAACCGTTTAGGTTCTACAGCCTGTCAAAGTTGCAAAAAAGTCAATTTTCAACTGTCAATATTTCCGAAACAGTTGAAGATAAATATAGGCCATGATACATGAAATATGTTCAGAATTTAACGTAGAATTTAAAAATTAAATAAAAAATTGGTGTTTTCATTCAAAAAAATTAAGTTAGCTGTCATAACTTGTTTTCGGGTCACTCTGTATATATGGTATTATCATCACAATAACGGCCAATAAAATCAAAAATTGACGTGTCCGAGGTTTTTTGAAAAATATTCACCCTGTGTATATTTTATAGATTTTATTCCAACCTTTACGTGCTCACTGTATTTGATCTTATGTTTATTTCTTTTTTTCAGTGTAATTGTTAAGATATTTATTAGGTAGGTATAAAAATTGTCACTTCAAAATATAATAAAATCTGTTTTTTTTTTAAAGATAATTCCCTAAGTCAAAAATTTAGTAACTATGTTGGCAACACAAGCCTTTTCTACATGAAAAATTTGAGAGCATTGACAATTTTACATTGTATTGCCAACCTAATGTCAGTTTGACTTTTATCTTTAAAAAAAAAACGCACTTTATATGATATGGTTTTATTTTTCGCTATAAACATACACATAAATACGTATGTACTGATAGAATTTACCATTATTTGTGAGTATATTATAAAGTCTGTTTTTTTTTTAAAGATAAAAGTCAAAATGACATTATGTTGGCAATACAATGTAAAATTGTCAATGATTTCAATATTTTATGCACAAAAGGCTTGTGTTGCCAACATATTTAGTTACTAAATTTTTGACTTGGGGAATTATCTTTAAAAAAAAAAACAGATTTTACTTCTGTTTTCTTTACGTTCTATGGTTGACCCCCAAGTTAAATTTCTGTACCTACTGTTAAGTTTGGTTTGTCTAGGTATAGATGGCGCTTTTCGTTTTGTAAAAGGCTGTCAGACTGTCTAGGTTAAGGAGTTGTTAAAAAAAGACATGTTGTCAAAAAATTGTCGAAGTCGATCAATGAATAAATAAACGCTGTCTAGCCTCCCGGCACCGGTATTCATACGAATCCCGGTTATGTCGCGTTTTAAATGACGTCATCGTGGATCCCGGCTAATGCTATTACAAGATGTTAATAATTATTATGTTCATTGGTATTGGGGCAGATTTATTATGAAGAGTAAAAAAAGTCAGGCGCGATAAGCTTTTATTAATGGAAAATAAAATTATGACTTTTTATTATATGTATATAGGTACAGGGTCATTTTGAAAGTTTGTTCAGCATTTGATCTTGTACAGCAACGCCGTTGTTGTTCAGTAACATTACACCAGGGTACCCCAAAATTAGAGGTTAATATTTTAACTGCGTATTCTACATCTCAAATTAAGAGCAAAAATTCCTATAAACATGGGTCCAAGAGTACCCTATTTCACAGATACAGGCTATAGTCCTGAATAATGAATGAAAATGAACCATACTATTCCCTTTTTAAACCACTACTACGAAAAGTGGATTAACGAAGTACTTACCACTCTAATACCAATATCACAACAAGGAACAATAATACACAAAAGCTATTCCGAAATTAATCACAGCTTCAAGCAGCAAGAGAAACACGACTTTGAATTTTGAATCCAATAGCCGGGATCCACGATAAATCCCGGCGGTCGTTGATGGAGTCATCGAAAACGCGTCATAACCGGGAATCGTATGAATA